ACTGATTTTTTGTCATGTCTATATAATCAAGTTCGTCTTAGAACTTTATAACGCTAGTAAAGTTATCGATCTTAATTCCCAGTAATTATTGATTTGTTAGATTTACTGATACATATTTATACTTACGTAATGTGCACGTGATTAAGGGTGTGGAAATACCAAAATCGGGTGTGGAAATACCTGTTCCCTAAATTTAACTAATTTAAATAAATATATATATTTTAGAACATGCCAGCAGTTCAAGGTAGACACCATGGATCTACACTTTATATGCCACTTTTTATATCTGTTTGTGATCTAAAAAATATTATAATTTTAAGATTAAATCAAAAAAAGGACAAAAATATAATTGGAGATTTTTTAGTTCCATCAGAACAATAGATTTCTTTGCAATTTTATCCAAAAAATCTATGGGCCAAATCTAGTATAAATTATGTTGGACGATTTGAAATAAAATACAAAGTTCAAGCAAGACAACTTAGAAAATCACATCCAAATGCATATTATTGTCGTGCAATATTTAAATATTTTCGCCATTTTGCAATAAAGTTTAAAGAATATACGGCAGCAATATTTGCTGATGATAAGCATAAGATTTCTATTGGTGAAGATATTGCAACATCAACTGGAGTACGAAATAAACGTGTAGCTATACCTCTTTCAACTACATTAAATGCAGGAGATCATGATTTTACAAAGTTATTTTTGACACTATCAGTAATATTATTAGCTACAATACCTAAAGATCCTACAGATTCATTTTATAATAGACAAGTTTTTGTAATATATAAAAATATAGTCTTTCAATCTAGTTCAGCTCTGCAGCATAGTACAGAATTTTATAACACATTAAATGCTTTTTATAATAAATTTTTACCTGAAATTTTAATGGTTTATACAGATGGTGGACCAGACCACAAATATACATTTGGTTCAGTTCAAATTTCTTTAATATGTCTTTTTTTAAAAGGCAACTTTGATATATTAATAGCTGCTAGAACTGCACCATATCATAGTTGGGCCAATCCAGCAGAATGTATTATATCAATAATTAATCTTGCACTACAAAATATAGCTTTACAATGTGACCAAATGACTGAAAAGTCTGAATTAGCATTTGCTCAACTTAAATCTTTAGAATCAATTCGTGAAGAAGCAAAAAATAATTTAAAATTAAAAATAGAATTATCTGCATCAATTAAAGATATTCAAAATATTTTAAATGAAAGAACAATGCGATTAAAACTTTATGATGATTATTTTTTAACAGGTAAAACTGCCACAGATTTAGAAATTGAGCAATTTTTGAGGTATTATTATTTATTATAATTGTTCAATACAATTATAAGTTACTTATAAATAAATTATATATATTTAGGTTATTCATACAATTAATCCAAATTTTAAACAAACAATGACTACATCAAATTTTTTAAAAAAACAACAATTTTATAATGATTTTTTAAAATCGCATTGTCAACTTCGAACCTATACATTTCAAATTAAAAAGTGTACAAGTAAAGAATATCAAATATGTCAACCAATTCAAATGCCATATGACCAATTTGAATTATTATCTTTTTTACCTGATCCTGAAATTTCTACTGGTAAAAATATTATATTAAAATTTTAAGTTATTAATTTATATTATTAATAATTTTAAAAACATTTTATAGATAAAGAACATTATAAAGAATTTGATGAACTAAATAATAGCGCTATTTAAGATGCTACTAAAATCCACTGGCTCTAAAACAAGGCTAAACTGACACATAGTATATGGCAGCCATTTACTGTGCCACTGCCCATTGTTTGAAGTATCAATTTTGATATGTCAAATTACAAGTAATAAAATTTTACACTAGTAAATTTTAAAAAATTTGACACGTTGAATGGACTTGTATTCAATATTTCAATTGATAAGTTATTCAATATATCAAATAATATGTTATATTGAATGACTTATCATTTGACATATTGAATGCAAGTCCATTTAACATGTCAAATTTTTTAAAATTTACCAGTGTTAATATATGAATCAAAAATGACACTTATTGAATAGCCAGTATTTACTATGTGTCATTTTAGCCCTGTCAACAATGCATTTTTATCTGGTGTAAAGCAGAGCCAGTAGATTTTAGTAGCATCTAAAATAGCACTATTTTAGCAAAATAGCTAGCAACATTGTGTTAAGATGCGAAATTTGCTACTTTTGGTGCCAAGCATGTGATTATTACTTTTGTTCTTAAACTGATTTATATAAATGAGTAATTATATGCATGTTTCAAATGATGACTAGAGAACTTACTAAAATTATAGATCAAGAACTCATTGAAAGAACATATGATTACATTAAAATTTATATTTGACGAACATAAATTTTGTAATAACTATTTTGCTAATTTTGCAAATTTTACTAGCTAGTTTTGCTAGATAGTTTTGCTTCTAATGACCACCTGAGTAATACTGGCAAAACTGTAGTAGCACTTAATGTGCTTTTATTAATTAATATTGGCCAAACTTGGGGGATGCTTAAAACCAGGTACATCACAGGATTACCCGATTTTCTGATTTTTAATTCAAATCGATTAATATTAGGGTTGGAGTTAGATTAAGTGGTTTATAGAGTAAAATCGCATTTCCGACTCTTTTACTTAGTGAACCAAGACTGGTTTAGATAGCCGTTTTTTATATTTTTCATGTTTTTTTCTTTGTCATCTCGCTTTGTTTTGCTCAGGAATCCCTGGCTTTAAGCTTGGTATTGTAATCATGTGTTGAAGCACTATTAATTGTAATTACCGTTATATAATTTTGTAAGTTACAGCGTAATTTATATGTAACGTAATTTATGTAAGGCCATGCCAATTTAATTCTTTACTTAATATACCCCTCCTATTTTAGTGAAATAACAAGGGGAGAATCAACTTGAAGTGGCCTAATTTTCTACTCTAATTCCAGGACCACATAATTCACATAATTTAAGATTTGCCGAACGCATAATTTTGCAATGATCGAATTATACTGACACTCTAATCAGGGTTGCCAAAACGGTTACCAGTAAGTTATCATAAGTCACCGGTGAAAGCAATCTTATTTGAAGTTTTCATATTATATGTTCATTAATTGTTTCACGAACCGGCATTTGTAATTCGCGACAAATACCCTGGATTATTGAATCTATGTCTTAAAAACCCTAAAAAAACTTAGAGAAATAAGGTAAAGGTATAATGAAGAATAATAATAAATGTGACGGCTGATGCTGAATTTTGGTTGATGCTGAATTTAATTAATCTGATTGGTTAAAGTTAGGGTGATCTGCAAAATTTAGCCAATAGGATTTTTTAGATTCAATATCAGCCAAAAGTTAGCATCAGGTGTGACAATAAATGATAAAATAAGAAGACACTTATCAACTCGACAAATCATATCGATATGCAGGATTTTTGAAGATATAGATCGCCGGTGATACCTTTGTTCAACAACAGATTAATTTTATAATAGATTAATATTCAATATCAATATATATTAAATAAACTACTATTAAACATAATAGAATAACTTCTATTTTATATTATCAAATAGTTGTGTCATCCTTTAATGTGATGTCTAAAATAGATAAAATAACTATTTGGCTATTTCACTCCAAAGCTTCAATCTCATTCTCTCTCTCATCATTTTCATCCTCACTTTTGACTTCATTCTCTTCATCGACTCCATTCTCCTCTTCTACGGTCTCAGTTTCGTATTTGGCCAACATCCATCTTGGCGCATTTATTGGCGGCTTATCCTCCGATGCAAACCCTGATCTATAACTTCTTATCCGAGTTGGTTTTACCTTAGCCGTTTCATCGTGAATCTTGTCTACATAATCTCTTAACAATTCTTTTAGCTTTAAAAATAAAATGATTTAAATTAATCTTAATATATATATGCATGTTTTATGTACGATTTCTATAATTTCACCATATATCTTAGCACCAACTACTAATAACACATGGAACTATTCTCTCTAAATGCACACAAACTTTTTTTTATAAAATTAACATATTTTATACATTCTACGGTCCTTCAGTAACATAAATATATATCAAACCATTACATAATATGTATTATTGTCAGCTATGTGATATTACATAAAAATATAGTCCTTCGAAGTTTGTACAAATTCATTTTATAGTCGATAATAAAGATAGAGATATAAAAATTATGAATTTAACTTACAGCTTGTGATCTCCACTTCAAGTCATAAATTACAATCTTTCTTTTTACCGATTCTTTATCCGTTTCTGAGATTTTTGAAGAATGGTAACAATTACTTGTCTGTAACTTCATTAAGTCTTCTTTTGCTATCTTTCTTATTAACTTATCATTTACTTCAAATAAATGATCTATCGTTTTTGCCCTTCATTTTCTTTTCTATTATTAAAAAAAAAAGTCTTAATATATATGTAATGGCTAAATTAACAATATGATATTTTACGTACAGCATCTACATGTCCATTTTTATGTCTCCTTCTTTTATGATTGTCCACCTCTGTTGCCGGTTTTTGTTCTTTGATGAATTCATCCCTTTGGTGTCGATGACGTTGATGTAGCATTTTATAAATTATGCTATCGACTACTAGAAATGTTGCCTTGTCCAAAGCATTTGTAATTCTTGGAAGTATTGAGTTTTTAACAAGGTCGCATTGATCCTCAAAGGTCTTATGAAGGTTTAGTTGATACTCCGTAACCTTGACGTAATTAAGTTGATTTCTCTCTAAAATTTTAACAGTAGCACACATTCAATTATGAAAGTTAAAAAAAAAAAAAAACTAACAGAACTTGGTGACAAGCCCCAAAAAACCAAACAGAAAAAAAAACTAAACTTTCAGAACTTGGTGACGAACCCCAGAGGTGTGCCACTACCACAGTATCCAACATTCATAATCCTCACTAACCAAATGGCTTTTCAGCAGTAGCACACATTCAATAATAAAGAAGAAAAAAAAACTAAACGATAAAAAAAAAAAAAACTAAACTATCAGGAACTTGCTGACGAACCCCAAAGGTCAGATGTGCCACTGCCACAGTATCTACCATTCGTAATACTCACAAACCAAATGGCTTTTTAGCAGTAGTACACATTCAATAACGAAGAAGAAAAAAAAAAACTAAACTATCAGGAACTTGCTGATGAACCCCAAAGGTCAGGTGTGCTACTGCTGCCGTATCTACTATTCATAATACTCACAAACCAAATGGCTTTTCAGCAGTAGCACACATTCAATAACGAAGAAAAAAAAAAAACTAAACTATCGGGAACTTGCTAACGAACCCCAAAAGTCAGGTGTGCTACTACTGCCGTATCTACCATTCATAATACTCACAAACCAAATGGCTTTTCAGCAGTAGTATACATTCAATAACGAAGAAGAAAAAAAAACTAAACTATCGGGAACTTGCTGATGAACCCCAAAGGTCAGGTGTGCTACTGCCGCCGTATCTACCATTCGTAATACTCACAAACCAAATGGCTTTTCAGCAGTAGCACACATTCAATAACGAAGAAAAAAACTAAACTATTGTAATTCTCACTAACCAAATAGCTTTTCAACGTAAACACATTCAATCACCAAAGTTTAAAGAAAAAAACTAATCTATCAAGAATTTTTCTAAGGTAGCATACCAAAGTTCTTAGGAATTGGTTTTAAGTTAAATATACTTACACGCAATGCCCTTAAAAGTTCATGTAGCACTTCTTTGATGGATATGTATTTTTTAATTTTTGGTTGTTCCTCCTTTGCTAATAGTTCTTCTTCTGACATTTCTTCATATTTATTTCTAGTCTCATTATTATGTCTTAGTTTTTGAGTTTTAGAAGGTTTTCGAGTTTTAGAAAGTTTTAAGTTTCAGAAGACTTTTGAGGTTTAGAAGATTTTTGAGGTTTAAAAGATTCTCTAACCATTTCTAAAATAATGCAAGGGTAGTATAAGAAATGATGATAAGCAGATTAGATGATTAGACTTTGAAAAATTTTAGAAAAAAAAGTCAAACTTTGATAATGAAATGGTAATATATGACTCTTTTTATATTTTAATCTTAGAAGTAAGAATGACATAATTTTTCACATTGATTACTATATTTCCTTGATCTATCGAAGATAGAATTATTATTGTATTTGTTCATTTAGAAGACAAAAACCTGATTGCGTAAAATAATAACATGCGAGAGATGATAGGCTAAGAACTCACTGAAGGTGAATATGATTGCATTAAAATTTATGCTTAATTAATCAAATATATTTAATAAGCTATTTCGATAATTTC